GGGTCTAATGTTCAATTAAAAGAGATTAACCTGTCACTGGGAAAAAATATTAATCTTTGTTATTAATTTCATACCAATTTCCGGTCCCAGGTTAATTTGGACAAACTTTCGGTTTTGAACTAAGAATAAATTTAAACTACGATTTTAATCTTTTTTTACAAAATAGCTCAGTGAAAAATCATTGCAACCACTAAGTAATTTTATGAATCCCTTGAATGAATCATTAATTTTACAAATTTTTTTTGAAAACTATAAAGGCAATACGCATATTTTTATTTTTTATAATTTTGGATAGTTGTACATTTTATTTTAAATAGAGATTTAAAATTATTCAATAAAAGTCTATACCGGTAATGAGCTTTAAAATCAATATGGTTTCTACGGATTTAAATCTTATACTGATATTTTTTTGTTTTTTCAATTTATTTTTTGAAAAGGAATCGGTGCGCCTGCTGGCAAATATTGCGGATACGAGCAAGGATGGACTCATCTCGTTCTCGGAGTTCCAGGCTTTCGAGGGTCTTCTCTGTACTCCCGATGCCCTTTACAGGACCGCTTTTCAGCTGTTCGACCGCAAGGGCAACGGCACCGTTTCGTATGGTGAGAAATAACTATCCTAATTAGCGAACATATCACTATATATCACTTCCAAATTCCAGCTGACTTTGCTGATGTCGTACAAAAAACTGAACTGCACTCAAAGATACCTTTTAGCTTAGACGGCCCCTTTATCAAGCGCTACTTTGGTGATGTAAGTGCAATGCAATCTGTAGTATCTTAATGTATATTTATAATGTAAATATTTGTCCGACCTTTAGAAGAAGCAACGCCTTATCAACTATGCTGAGTTCACGCAGCTGCTGCACGACTTCCACGAAGAGCATGCGATGGAGGCGTTCCGCAGCAAGGATCCAGCAGGCACTGGATTCATTTCCCCCTTGGACTTCCAGGACATTATCGTTAATGTTAAGCGGCATTTACTGACCCCCGGCGTCAAGGACAACCTCGTTTCGGTAGATATCTGAGGTTTCTCCGTCTGGATTATTTATATTATAATAATATTTGTAATATCTTTAGGTCACTGAGGGTCACAAAGTGAGCTTCCCGTATTTCATCGCATTTACCTCGCTGCTGAATAACATGGAACTGATCAAACAAGTATATCTGTACGCCACCGAAGGCAGTCGCACGGACATGATCACCAAGGACCAGATCTTATACGCTGCCCAGACGATGAGCCAGATCACGCCGCTGGAGATTGATATCCTCTTCCACCTGGCTGGTGCCGTCCATCAAGCAGGGTGAGTCCTCAGAAATAAATGCCATCGGGTTCAGCGTTGCCAACTTCGGATTACAATTAGCAAAACTAAAATATTTACTTGTTGTTTTCTTGATGACATTGTTAAATCTATTTTATTTTGGATGAGTGTTTTTGTTTTGTACAGTTAGAAAATTATTTATTTGTTTTATATTGATTCCTTATTAAGATTAGTTGATTCTGCTCTTAAAAGTATAATTTTATGACTATGTGGAAACATTTATATATTTTTCGAGTTTTAGATCGAGAACTTATTAGGATATTAACATTACTTTGTAGACTTTTGGGAAGTTATTAGTAGTTTGTAGTTATTAGTATAAAAACAATTCACATAAATAGCTCACTTCACAAACATTCAATTTCAAGGCTTTAATGTGTCTAATTGTGTAATTAGTATTAAATCATATACATTTACAGAATGTAAATTCATAGTGATGATCTAACCAGTTATAATTGTTATTTTTCACGTAGCTAAGTTTGTAAAAAACGATGTGTTTTTAATGTGTTATTTATGAGGGCGTTGAAATTCACAACAGTAAATACTATTACCATTTTTTTTTCTTAGAGAAAAAACTCTAGTTTACGTTTAAGGGAATTCTACTTATCAAATTAACATTAAAATGTATTTAAAAATCATTGGCAATACTGCTTAGGTCTGTCCGATTGTTTTGTTACATTAAATATTTTCTTGAAAGTGCATGAGTGTCCCAGGGAAATACCCAAAATGAGTGTCAAATGTCTTGTGCTAACTGTTGCTTGTTTGTATCTTTTCTCTCTGTGTTTCTCTTTATTTCTCCATTTCTCTGCGCTGCACTCGCAATTCTCATCCAAAGCTGGTGGAAGCGCAGGAGAAAGATAACTCCAAGTAGGCAAGTGATCTCGTCCTTCCTTGGCCTGAGTTCCGCTTTGTTATTCGTTTATGATTCCACTCCAAGAATTCCCGAACCCAAAACCTAACCCAGTTGGTGTCTCTTAGTTACCCTTTTGTATTGTACATTACATTGAAATAAATACTGATCGTTATACTCTCGTTCTTCAGCCGCATCGACTATAGTGACCTGAGCAACATCGCCCCCGAACATTACACAAAGCATATGACACATCGTCTCGCGGATATCAAGGCGGTGGAGAGTCCTGCCGACCGATCAGCCTTTATAATGCTTCTGGAAAGCTCTTACCGCTTTACTCTGGGATCCTTTGCAGGCGGTAAGACCACAGTTTGATTTATTTTAGTTATAATTACAACCGTTAATTTATAATTTATCCATAGCTGTCGGTGCCACTGTGGTCTACCCCATCGATCTAGTCAAGACTCGAATGCAGAACCAGAGAGCAGGCTCCTATATCGGTGAAGTTGCCTATCGGAACTCATGGGATTGTTTCAAGAAGGTAAGCCATCTCATATATTTTGGAAATTATATATATATAATCCTATCAATTTAAATTCCCAGGTGGTTCGTCACGAGGGTTTTATGGGTCTTTATAGAGGTCTGCTGCCCCAGTTGATGGGCGTGGCACCCGAGAAAGCCATCAAGTTGACGGTCAACGATTTGGTGAGGGACAAACTCACCGACAAGAAGGGCAACATTCCCACCTGGGCGGAGGTGTTGGCCGGAGGATGTGCAGGAGCTTCGCAGGTGGTGTTCACCAATCCCCTGGAGATTGTCAAGATCCGTCTTCAAGTGGCAGGAGAAATTGCTAGTGGGAACAAGATCCGTGCCTGGTCGGTGGTGCGGGAACTGGGACTTTTTGGTCTTTACAAAGGAGCCAGAGCTTGCCTCCTTCGCGATGTGCCCTTCTCGGCCATCTACTTCCCGACCTACGCCCACACCAAGGCCTTGATGGCCGATAAGGATGGCTACAACCACCCACTCACTTTGTTGGCCGCCGGTGCAATTGCCGGTGTTCCGGCCGCCTCCCTCGTCACGCCTGCCGACGTCATCAAAACTCGTCTGCAGGTGGTGGCCCGATCCGGCCAGACCACATATAATGGCGTCTGGGATGCCACCAAGAAGATCATGGCCGAGGAGGGACCAAGGGCCTTCTGGAAGGGCACGGCTGGTAAGTCAGATGTGTTTTAGGAAATACTTAAATCAAATTTTAATCAAATCTCTTACCTTTTCCCACAGCTCGTGTCTTCCGCTCCTCGCCGCAGTTTGGCGTGACCCTGGTGACCTACGAGCTGCTGCAGCGACTCTTCTACGTGGACTTCGGAGGCAGCCATCCCAAGGGATCGGAGGCGCACAAGATCACCACCCCGCTGGAAAAGGCGGCGGCGTCGGTGAGCACCGAGAACCTGGACCACATCGGTGGCTACAAGGCAGCAGTTCCTCTTCTGGCCGGCGTGGAGTCCAAGTTTGGATTGTACCTGCCGCGATTTGGACGCGGAGTAGCCGCTGCCACGCCCTCGACGGCCACGGGATCCTGATTGTACTGGCGCCACCGCCTGCCCAGCGCCACGTAGTCACAGAGAAGCGAAACAATGGCAGGATTGGGGGCTCCAGATCACATGAGATGAGATATATTTTTTGCTAGGACGCGTTTACACAAAATACACACAGAAGCACTGAGGATATTTCTAACGAGGATCAGGGAGGAGCAACGCCGTATCTATAGTACTATTGTATCTGAACAGAAGGGTTAAAATCCTGGGCACCCAGCTCTGAGCAACTGTTTTTACCACACCCAAAACCAAAAAAGAAAAACAAAAAAATGTGAAAACCCTCTAACGAGTATAGAATCGATTTTGGCGGGTGCATATATTTAGGAAAGTGTAGAACTGTTTTTTTGTAAACTTTGTTAACTAGTTTAAAGTCTAGAGCAACAACCAATCACTGAATGTCAACTTTTGCACTCATTGTAACTATTAAAGCGAAAACCTTTTAATCTTAGTACGAATTTGTTCAAAACAATTATCAAGCAAAGGAAATGCAATGAATGACCTCTTAGCTAATAAAGAATAATTAAAAATAAAACTCAATGTTAAAGAAAATCGAATTTAGCATAGTTTTTTATCTAACAGGAAATATGGGTTAGGTTTTAATTACAATGCATTTTGACCTTATTAAAAATTGAATAGTTTTTAAAGTGTTGAAAATAAGCAAACTAGTTATTAAATGTTTTATTTTTTCAGATAGATATTATTAAATATTACCTAAATATACTTACATATCTCATTGATTGTAAACTTTTTACAGTCCAATTTTTAAATAATACCTTTGAAAATCTCTTCAAATCTAATTAAAACGAAGCCAAACCCAGTTCACCTACTCCCATTCAAAGAGACTTGCAGAGGACAGTCTACACCCCTTGAAAGCTGCTTACTAACTCAATCGAGCGTCTAATTCATGGCCTATTGCGAGTAAACAGGGTCGAAACGCATCTGATTAGAATTGTGCGATCGTGGGCAGTTGCAAATCGATGTTGACAAGTTAATTTTAGGCACTGCCCATTTGATTTTCTGGGTTGCCCAGACTCGGTTTCAAAGTCAACAACTGTCTGCCGACCATGACCGCTAAAAGAAACCGTTAGAGATTCGAGAAGAGGGTCTTCACATCTGCCCTAATGACCGGGTGCACTGGACGAGATCGGTCGCCGATCACTGATCAGCGATGGGTTATAAAAACTGCATCGATGGAGGCACATTTGATGTAGTTTCATTTCGGATTTCAAAGGGAGAACAATGCGAGTTCAGTCGGGTTTGGTGTTATTCCTACTTGGAGCACTCCTAAGTAATCGTTTCGCAACCGGAGAGGATCAAACAGATACATCATGGATATCCCAGCTGAGGAAACTGCGAAGTGATCTACGTAACTGCTATCAATCTAGCGTATCTCAAAGTTTGTGGTCTTGTTTTCGATCAAAGAGCTTACACATCTTCGAGGACGTAATGTCTGCCCCAGAGATTTCTATATACGATGGAGTACGTCTCGTTTCCGCACCCAATATTACTGACAATTCTTCAAGAGCCCAAGATGAGCGAAAGGATCTGAAACATCTGACATGGTTTGATCAACTAGCTGTCAGTTTGGCAAAGGGCTTAACCACCCACACCTTACAAGTGAACTTAGGAAAACTTACTGAGCGATATCTAAGTAGCGGTGGGTGTTGGCTAATTTCTATCTCTTTCTTAATAAATTGAAGATTTCTTCTGTCAGAGACTTCTAACACCGATCCCGTGGGAAGTGCCCGACTGAGACGACATCGCTATAATATGATCATCACCATGATGTTTGGAGTCACCGCATTGGGGGCTATTTTGGTACCCATGGGATTCCAAATGTTGTCTATTGTGAGCGGTAAAGCTCTATTATTGGCAAAGATGGCCCTACTTTTAGCCTCCATCAATGGATTGAAGAGGGTATGTGAGTCCAAGGGTTTTAAGTTAACTCTATTTTAATATTTTGTCTTAAATGCTTTCAAGGTGGCCAACAATGGACTGCATTATGGACTGTACCATGTGCCAGGAGAGCATTTAGGAGGTTACTATGACAGAGGGGATGTAAACCACCCTAGAAATGTACCCATTCCAGTGGCTGTTGCTCCAACTTTGGATATGGGATTGAATATAGAATAACTCTTAATAACTGGAAAGAACTCTAAATTTGTATTAAAATCCCTTTTAAAAAATGTTATTACTTATATTAGTTTTGAATTGATTACCATTAAGAAATAACGCAGTTTGTGAAATCTCCAATTGCCTTCTTCAAGCATTAATTAGTACAATGTTTAAGGAGATCTTATTTTAAGAAATATTTAAATATCAGTTAAAGTGCTTCCATAAAATCGATGGATACAAAAAGAGCACATATAAAGTTCCGTTTGAGTTTAGTATTAAGATACATTTTTTAAGAATTAATAAAAACAGGGACTCGTTTGAAAGAGCTTTTCCCCTTAGCTTTTCTTCAGCTATTTGTGTTGGCAATGCCGCAAGAAAACTCAACAGAAAAGCTGATGGTGGTGAAAAACCGAACAGCGGCAAGTATTTTAAAAAAGTGCAATGGAAACCGAACTAAATAAAATTAAACCACAAACAGCGAAAATGATAACGAAGAAAACTTAGGACAATGAAAAGAAAAACTTAGGACACTTGCAAACATCAAACTCATCAATACGTGAAGGGAAAACCACCCAGAAAAGTGACAGGAAAACTATGAACTCTGAACAAGGACGACTGGCTGACTGGCTATAAAAGGAAATGCGGCGCTGATAAGGGCCAACACTCGGTCGTCGTGCGGCAGCGTTGACGCATCGTCCTCGTCCTCGTCCTGCAACGGTTTCTTGATTTCTTTCTCCCTGAACAATAAGAACGGTTTCCCCGGCGCAATTTTTAACCCGCATCAAGTATACGCAACGAGTGCCAAGTAAGCATCGCGTGCCTCCATCGCTAATTCCACGCTCTAATGAAGTTATTGGGTGCGTGATTCCTGCGTTAATCTCTGGACAGGCCAAGGATCAAACGAAGGCGCTCCGGAACTCGCGGGATAATTGAAAATTTGCCTCAAACTCCAAAAACTGAATCTCAATCTCCCCGCGGGGATTAACTTTTTTACTCCCCGGTTTCGAAAATCAAATAACGCAATGAAGTTGGTCGTTTATCTCTATTTGTCCATGATTATACTGGGCGTTCAGGTAAGTGTCGGGTTGAAAGATATATCCTTATAAATTTTACTGGCCGAACCGATTCTTAAAAATTGATTTTTAAGAAACCATTTTTTACAACAGCGTTCTCAGTAAAATTTGTTTGAAGAGTTAAATCGTTTAATTAAAACGTTGAATTAAAACCCCGTCAAATTAAATAACATCTAATGGTTTTTCTATAGTTTTTTTTAATATGATTTATATTGAGACCTTAAGGTAAGGAACTGAATTTTTTTCTGTGCAGCAATAGGTGACAAAAGTCACGCGTGTAATTCCTTGTAATTCGATCAACAAGTTGGGCCAACTTTTGTTTCCACGTTGCTCTAATGACTTGATCTAATTTCTTTCGGCCGAGATTTTTACCCTGATTGATTGATTTTAGATGTCGACGGGGTTATTGCCAAACTTTTTGGCAGCCTTTCAGTTCTGGCTTACGCTAGAACTGATTACCTTCATTAGGCTCACGGTGCAGACTCGGCTAGTAATCAATTTATGAAAGTCCAAGCGGGTCAGCGGGTCAAAGTTTGTGCCCCGGTGCAAATGAATATTTGATTCCATTACCAAATGGGCCAATCCGGCCAAAAGTTTGCCGTGACATTTGGTTGCAGCTGAAACAAAAATAGAATTCGTGCTGACAAATCAGCTAATTATGATTGAGACGTTTCCAAGACAGATAAGATAGCAGCCGAAAAAAAAAACCAATCGAATTCATCTTTTCTGGAAAAGGATTGGGTTGAACTGGGAACTGGCACCAGAAATATAAAATATTCGAAAGATATTGTATTTTTATCAGATACAAATATTATTCCTCCTCACATTTATCTCCATGAAATGTAAGTGAAATTTAACAAAATATTTAGATTTCATTGGAAAAGAAAGGGATAAAGAAGTTTAAATTTATCAAAATAGCACCATAAGTCATGTTGGTCTGCCAAAGACAGAAGCTATTTCGGTATGAAAATACTCGGAAGTTGTAGCCGATTAGGGATCCATTTCTCAATCGTTGTTGCTGCCATCCATCACATGCAGTAGCTCCGATCTGTTGACTTAATGGCAACATTGTGGGCTAAGTCAGGAAGCCGGGACACCAGGAATCCACTTCAATGGCCAAGGATAAATGTAAATTTCGCACCTGCCATTGAGCCGTGGGCGGTGGAAAAACCAACAGTCACTGGCAAGCAAAACCGGTGCGGAAAAACCAAACGATTCGAAGGTGTTATGGGCAGGGCAATCGCAATGAAACTGCAACTGACTCATTTCTTGTGCGGTCACTCACTTTAGACATGGACGAGATTTTCCTACGTTTCCACGTAGTTTTGCCCCCTCTTTTCGCCCACAAATCCACTTCCTGCTCGATTTCCAGAGAGTCCTGCACTTGATGTGCGCTTAATGGTGACACCGACGCTTTGGCACTTTACAGCCATTTAAGCCAGGACATGACAGCCACACCCCTGCTGTCCCATTTCCGTCCGCATTTTCCTGTTTTTCCTCAATTTCCCCGCCTTGAAGCTTCGTTTTTCACTCTGGCAACATGTGAGAACGACAACAATTAAACCATGAATGTCAACGGGTGCAACAGGGCCAAAAGAGTTGTGAAGCGGGAAACACATGAAAGATAAGCTTTAAGCATCAGAGGTGACCTCTAATTGCAGCAGCCACAAATGGGGTGCTTAGGTGAATGTAGGTGGGACATATCGCTTTATTCCCTCTAATTTCCCTACGTTTTTCATTGCTAATCTTAATAGCAACACTGAAAAAGTCGGTGCGTTAAAATAAAATAGATAGAAAACTCTACTACTTTTATTCCGCAATTTAAATTTAATGACCAAAGCTTAAAATAACCTTAGTAAAGCTTAGCAATTTAATTATATTTTAACATTTTATTTGTCTACAGATTTTGACGTAAAAATCTTCCCGTTTATAGGTTCTATTAAGAGATATACTATACAAATTAAATTGAAAGTAATATAACCCCAATAGAAAGGTTATCTAGTTTTGCGTTTTGATATAACACTATTGTTATCCCCTCTCTGTGAATTGTAATTGAATCTGCCATAAATGAAAATCTAACCTCCCATCCTACGTTTAAGTAGATGTATTTTCTGTCAGCACCGAAATATGGCGCGTGGATCCTTCTAATTTCCATAAATTGCCATGTAGCAGCAGCCGCGCGAAATTTATGCCATATTCAATTCCTTTCTAGCGGAACTCTTGCATAAATCTCCGATGCAATATGTTCAATAATAATCGGGCAGCAGAGGAAGCCGAAGCATTTAAGGCAGAACTAATTTCCGTTCTGGAAACACACATCTTACCATTTTAACATTCCAATTGCAGCTTTGATAGAAACGCAGAAATGACGTCAAGCTGGCTGGACAAAAATAAATTTTGGCCAAATTGGATTTTTACAGTTCATTTGCGGTTGCGTGAAATTAATTTAATGATTCAAGCCAATAAGACCGCTCGCTATAGGTTAACAGTGCGTATGCGTAATCGCATTCATTTGCGGCTTTCGAGGTTAATCCATGGATTTTCACTTGACGACAATGAGCTCTGACAATCGCCGAGCTTAACTTTTAATCGCAAAGTTGAACGAGTTGCTGACGCAAATTAAGCGATTGTCTGAGATGCCAAAAAAATTGGAAATAAATAAAAGAAGAGGTAATAATTTAACGCAATTTCCTGGGAGGAGGTATCTCTGTTTTCCTGGTCACCAGGGACTCTTTTTTCTTCATAAGTCCTTCCGTTCTCTGCTCATTTCGCGGCCATTCATTTGCCTTAATTCCGACTCGAGCAATGCCTAGTTGGCAATATTTCTTTAGCATCCGGTATTATGTGCATATTTGAGCCGTCATCACTCTGTTAGACGAATCGTTTCAGGACGATTCCTTAGTTAAATTTACGCCGGCCGTAAAGGCATCTTAATATTTGATGGTCGACAACAATTAATGGCAGCCTGTTGCTTTGCTGGACCCCGGCAAGGGAATCACTTATTCATGACCAGGAATATTCCAAGTACTTTCTTAAAGCCGTACCCTTTGAAGATGTCTCATAACTTATTCACTCCGCTAACAAAGATTCCCCCGCCAATTGTAAGTGTTTACTTTAGCTGAAGGATTACCTCCGGATCTCCTGCTGCTACGCCGAAAGTCAATATTTACCTGACCCCCGAAAAAGGATTTGAATTTCGTCAGGTGCTTCCTTTCGACGCCAAAAAACACGTTTAGGTGTCGCCTTCATCTGGCAAGCGAACTTTTAATCAAGTCACAAATATTTCTGGCATCTTAATTCCCGGCAGTGGCATGTGAAGACCTGATTCGCATATCCTTGGCTAATTAGCGGCTACTGGAGTGACGGGAACAAAGGAATCCTCCGCCTCGACGACCTTGAGGCTTGATCCTTCCCATTCCTGGGTCCTCTGAACAATCCTTGAAGTGCTGGAATTGATTTACTCTGTGAACAACAGGCTCATTAATCAATTCCAAGCTGCCAAGTTATGAATGAAAATTTTAAAATAGAACAGTCCAAAGTAAAAACAACTAATTGAATATTCCGATTTTTTAAGGACAGTATTCTGTAAATCATTTCGTTTAATATTCAAGCCATGCTTTTAAGAAGAATTTATAATGAAGTCCACTGTTCCAAAATTAGAATGGCAAGAAAAAAACTTAGAATTAAACTGTTTTAAAATTGATATTTTTTATAATATATTTTTTTGACAGCGAAAAGTATATTAAAAGAAGAAATACTCCGAATTTATTAAATCTATAAGTGTTTGAAATCATAGCTGAAGTAGAATGCTAATAAAATCTCAACACTCAATAGCCAATAAATGCAGAAATGCAAGTTCAGTAGTGGTAAGAGGGAAAGGGCGTTAACTTGTGGGATTCTAAGAAGGATTGCCACAATGGCCATAGAACCTTTCTATTTCTGATG